ACACTGGTGCCCATGTGGTGAAGGCGAGCGGCTGTACCAAGTGTTCCGAGAATGGCCACCGGCAATGGAATCTTGGGCAGGTGAAAACGTGCAGGCGGCACCATTGAAACGGGTCACATTGGTCGTTGCACGAGGTGCCGAGGACCATGTGTTGCAGCAGTAACGAGTAATATTTCTGACGTGGTGGCAGTTGAAACATATAGGGCCGTCATCTGCAGTTCACCACTCAGCAGGGTTGAGAGTACGCGGAGAAAACCGTCGGTCGGAGGAGGGCATCTCGATAGGGCGTTCGCTGACTCTGGACGCGGTGACATGGCACAAGGAATGCACTCCGATGTTTTCAAGCTCCTGGCGCACGATGGCTTGAACAAGAGGAACAGTAACAGGAGTGGTATTGGCACTGTGTGAATAGAACGCCGAGGGTGCCATTGCTTCGAGTTCGCGACGAACAATGCGTGTCAGGTTTCCTGGCGGCGATGGACGTTGTGTTGCGGAATGATCCTCGCAAGTCGATGTTGCAGCAGTGTTTGGAAATCGGGTGAATGTTGGCATAATGCGGTGACTTTTCACTTGCTCAAACTGACGACATTCTTTGATGATCGCGTCCACGGTGGAACAGCCCTTGCACATCAGTAGATTGAACCCGTCATCGTCAATCCCTTTCAGGACATGCCCGACCTTGTCACTCTCTGTCATGTCGCTTTCGGCTTTTCGGCAGAGGGCCAGCACGTCTTGAATGTATGTGAGGTAGGATTCCGTGGGAGATTGGGCACGGTAGGCCAATTCCTTTTTGGTGGCGATCTCGCGACTCGCGGTTTTGCCAAACACCTCTCGCATCTTTTCTTTGCATTGGGCCCAGCTTGTGAGTTCGTCTTCCTTGTTTTCATACCACACCTTAGCCGTGCCTCTCAAGTAAAACAGTACATTAGCCAATTGAAGTGTGGAATCCCATCTGTTCGGCACACTCACTTGTTCGAACATAGATAACCAATCGTTAACGTCGACGCCATCGGTCCCGCAGAATGTATCGGGATCCTTAAGTGGCGCGAAAACGTATGGTTGCGACGCCGTGTTCGTGGGAGACGCTGACGTTGACACGGACGGCTCAGCATTGGCCATGGCTGGAAAACCGATGCGACGTCCGCTGTGGAGCTCCGTTGCCTGATACCCAGCACCTTTCACCAATATGTTACGGGGTTAGAGACTTTTGTACAAAATGTGTTTACAGAGGAAAACCCACAGGCAAGAGTCACAATGGCTGATTGGCACCCTCGCGTGCCTATCAGCTGCTTGAGTTCTTCCTCTTCCTTTACTTCATCTCTGTGGCAATATAACTACTGCCAATTTCAAGAAACTTAGCATGCATGCACACACATAAAGGAAATCGACAAGGGCATGCAGTTGCTTTCCTTTGTGTGCATCAGTATTTTGGTACTTGGGTGCCTGTTGCATTAAAACCGTATTTACTCGCGTAATCAGCACACTCGCATAATAAATGCACCTGTAACTTCAGTCATCAAAATTTGGATTTTTTTTCTCCTAGCATAATAAACACACCCCCTACATTCACCTGCAGCACTCCCGCAAAACAAACTCCCTTGGTTCGCTTCCTCCCCCGAACTTCCCCCTTATCTGTGCGCGACGCATCCCCCTTCTTTTTGAATTATTTGTGCACCAAAGCGGGATTCATGAATGGTGCCAGTGTAGACGCTGCAGCTCACAAGCACACAGCAAGCAAAGGTCACGTAACTGCCCACACTATCTAGCGATTCTTTCCTGCAAATAAGAAACTTTGAGTGCCAACTCTGTCGATCTTTCGAGGTAAGCGAGTCTCAATAAAATTAACTGGGTGCGTTCATTTGCACGTTTGTGCCATTCATGCCAACTTGCAGGTTTGAGAGTTTTGCAGATTGTATTCAAATGAATTTTATAGCTTGCCTCCAAATGCTACTTGGCTTACCTGAATTAATGAAAACATTGTGTGCGTGACATTAATTTTTACAAGCAACGAAAGTGACAAAACTTATGTGCCCTTGCAGTGTCTGCTTGTCTGTTATGGATCCTGTGTGTTTGGCTGGCGCCCCCTTTTTTGAGCATGCGGTTTTCTTTTACATGTGGGTGGGTGTGCAATGGGTGGCAAGTGATGTTGCCTTGTGGGCCACACAGCGATTCGCCATATATTCACCATAATAGGGTAAGCATTCTAGCCGATCGCTACAGACACAAACTTGGACGGCGTAGACAAGTAGTGCCATCTAGCAGCATCATGCGCAACTAGGCAAGCAAACACGAAAAATCTGTTCTGCTCAGTCAAAGAGGAACGGCGATGCTTGTTGACATCCAAATGCGTTCGAATTGTAGCTGTCATTGTTTGACAGCCCCGAGGAGCTTGTGCATGAGGCACGGTCAGGCACAGACATGGTGTGGCGTTGTTGACGTGGTAACCTGTCTGCTGCTATTCGTGGCTTTCGCAGTTTTCATACTCTGCACAGGCAGGACTTGCATGTGTTGCTAAATTTCCAGTTCAGGCAAAGTAGTACGTCATACGTAAACAGTGCACTAAGTTGGGTTTCCGTTTCAATATTGCGGTTTCTTCATTATTAAAAATTAATTTCAAATTTGTTGAGCATTTCAGCTATTGGGCGCGTGAGCATAGTGTGTCTGGAACATGAAAGCACTATTACCCTTACATGGTCGAAAAATTGCCGAAGTATGCCTTTAGGGCCAAACCCACTGCCCATGATTTTCGAGCGACAGCCACTGGATTAACTGTTGCGAAGGGCCATCCGGCGCCATTGCGTCGCAGGCATGTCACGGGTTTCTGGAAAACCAGCAACCAAATAAGGGACACATCTCGAGCTTGAAATTTTATGTCACCACTCCTTTAAGCTTAAAGAGGCCATGACACCCCAATTTTCGCTTGTAATTTGTGCTATGAAGGTTAATCTTTCTGTGTTCACAAACAAGCTGGTGAAACTTCAGCACAGTTGGCCGAGAAATCAATTTATAACGAGCATTTTTACAAACACGTGGGCGACGCGAGAGTCTAGCAGTGGTGCACTCGTGAGCCGTGATGTAACAAGATGCTAAACAGGTGGTTGTGTATTTTCCCTGTATTAACCCTACCGCCACCTTGCAGGCTACTGGAGAACCCATTAGAAATAACAAGACACTTGGTTTTCAAGCGTCTGAATTTCAGTCAACGATGTTGTCTCATGGTCAGCTGTGCATGCAATGCACTAGAGTTGCAGACTGATTTTTTAATAGCTGACAGGAACCACAAAATAGCCAAAAAATTTAACAGCCCAAAAAAATGCTTAAGACATGATAATGAAGTTTATTTGGAATAGAGCAGCCAAAAAATACCCAAGAACGCCTTGCATCCTGCTGTGCTTGGGGACGAGCAGATTTGGTTGTACTTGTATTGTGCTAACACTGTCAGCAGTTGGCAATTACTGCCGCCGACCATTGCGGGCCGCACAGTTGGTGGCTCCATGGTATCAAGCAAACAACTCTTGATGCCAGTCACAAAAAGATGCATACAATGTCTCGTTTGTCTGGTGGGATTTAACGATGTGGTCTGAGATTTTTTAACCTGCACTGACATAGCAAGCACACAAGCCTTCAACATTTCACCTGCACTGAAACACTACTGGTGCGGCCCACGTGCTTCAGGTCAGTAGGCAAGCACAGTAACTACTGAGTGCTAACATGCAACACACACACCGGCTCAACAACTCTTGACACAGTACCAACACGACCACGTGCGAAATGGCGACAAAAAAGAGAAAAGGAAAAAAAGAGGAAAAGAAAAAGGCCTCCTGGCATACTAGTGATGATGGTAAAGCTGACTGACAAAGAAAAGTTGCGCTCCCTAGACAGTCTTGATTGATATGTGGGGTTTAACGTCCCAAAACCACCATATGATTATGAGAGACGCCGTAGTGGAGGGCTCCGGAAATTTCGACCACCTGGGGTTCTTTAACATGCACCCAAATCTGAGCACACAGGCCTACAGCATTTCCGCCTCCATCGGAAATTCAGCTGCCGCAGCCGGGATCCCTAGACAGTCTTGCTAGCCAAGAAAGATTGGACACGGCCTCTGAAGCTGGAAGGTTGTGCACGCTTCCAATCTTGGAAGCCCCACAACTAGTCACTAAAAGCCAAACTCAACCCCACCAACGCAAAATCCCACATGGCAGCTTTTAAAATTGAGAGGCATGGCTTAAAACGAGTGATTCAGAAAGGAAAATATAACTTTAGGGTATCAGCTCGCCCGAAAAATTAGTCGTACACGCATTAGTGCTATGGGAACCTTGACGGTGAACTTATGCAGTCCGAAATATCCAACAAGTGCAACCTTTTGGAGGGTGAAAAATCCATTGGCGGCTATATTAGAACTGTCCTCAGTTCGCATTGAAAATTGAACCATCTGCAACAGCTAAAACTTTCGTAGATGATGATGGCTCCACTCCGTAAAGCACATGACATCCCACACAACCTAGAAAAATGGCGGTCGCCGGCGGTGAGCGGGAGAACATTTCATTATGCAATGAAATATTTTTGTAATATTCATTTTTCATACATGTACAAGCACTATAGACCTTCTATATTTCCCTGAAAACCACAATTGGGTAAGTGACAACGTTGTGGGCCCTTTAAGACTGTGACAAAGCAATTGTCGGCTTTCCGTGCTTAAGATGCAGAGTCAGAAGCATGAATACAATACATTCTCATTAAACGGAACCTGAAGGGACTGGGAAAATGTGTTCCATTTAACAGGAGTTCTACCCTATGAAAAGTAAAGTGAATTCAAGTATTCAAGTATGAAACCAATCATATCAGAAGCAGTTGTTCTATTTACTAAGCAGCAGTTCCATTAACAGATTTCCAAATACTGAAAGTTTCGTTCACTGAAAGTCCACAGTAGTTCTAAATATAAAAGTGTCACACAGTGCTTTTGCAGAGTGCCACAAACTTGGTCACCCAATAGTACTAACCCATAAAGTGGCGCAGGAGGCTCCCAGAGCTCCAGGGCTGCTGGCCGCCACAGGACAGTGCCGGCACCTTCAGCCACACTGTCATCCAGCAGCAGCCGGCCTTTCTGTTCAGGAGCAGCAGCCTCTCCCCATCCACTGCACCATTAAATTCACATGTGTAAGGAGGAAGAAGAGCAATATGTCGTAGTGGGCCACGACCTTAGCACGAAGAGCCTAGCGTGAGCTGTTGTGATCCACGCTGTCATTCGTGTGCCGGTTGTTGCTGCCCGCTCACAGCGTCCGTAAGCCTCTTGCTTAAGTGCTGTATTTGTACCAATAAATCTCTTTTCAGAGTGGTAGAGGTGCTGGGTATTCATTTTGGAACTTTGCAACAGGAGACTGCCCACTCCTCCAGAAATGGCCAAAGATGACACCCAGCCAGAAGGCAGAACCCAGAATCAGCCTCGGATGGTCATCGTGCCCACCCCGTTACGCATGCGCGACCCCTCTTTCGTCAATGACACATATGAACAAGAAGTCAAATATTGCCTGTCGACCTTTGAAAAGGTGGGCGCGAGCAACAAGTGGCACGATCCTTCGAAGCTTCAATATGTTACTTTCTACCTGAAAGAGGTCACGAGCCCCTCACTCAACAACCACCAGTCCGAGTTCAGCACCTGGAGTGCTTTCAAGCAAAGAATTGTTGATGTCTTTGGCTGCCCTGAGCTATGCAAGCTCCAGGCTGCACAGCACCTACGGGGTCATTGCAGCTACAGGAAGAAGGCTTTGCGAGCTACATTGAAGGCGAGCCCAACTTGTGCAAGCGCATTAACCCTTAGATGGCCGAAGCAGACAAGATTCGACACATCTAGAAGGACCTAGACGATGACTTCCAGATGCTGCTGACCAAGGGCCCACGGACCGTGTCTAAACTAGCCACTCTGTGCCAGAGCTTCAAGGTGCTGCGAAAACAACAGGTCTTCACATGGCGGCCAGTGGCTACAGATGAAACTCTCGCTACGTAGACCCTCAATAGTGAGCAAAAAACAACGCTAATGTCAGAAATCAGGCGATTTGTTCACCAGAAAGTGGCTCGACAGGTTTCATGTCTGCCGTACTTACAGACAGCGGACGCCACTACCAAGCATCTTGCACCCGCCAGTCGATAGGTGATACAGGAGCATGTCTCTGAGACCCCGCTGTCCGCCTCTCAGGCTACACCTGTCACCGCGCCCCTAACTTACGTGGCCGTTGTTGCAAGCCCACCGTGACTGCTACCTTTGTCGACGTCTCAACCAGTGCGAGTGCCAACGACGCCCAGTACACAGCAGTGGTACAGAAACCCCTGGCACACAGCTGACAAACGCCCAATCTGCTACGCGTGCAGGTATCCGGGCCATGTCGCACGCTTCTGTCGTCGGCGCTTCGCAGTGACCTCGGCTGCACCGATACACCCTGACTGCTCTTACCAGGCTCCGTACGATGCGCTGTACTTGTACCAATAAATTACTTTTCACATGTACCATTTAAAATGTTCAAAGTTAACTCCAACCAAAAACTTGCAGTTTAGCTGCACAGTATGGCGTAGCTTCTAAACAAGTCTAGGTGATGCAAGTGCAGTTCTCTTCTAATCAGTTCTCCCCTCACCTACTCAGCTCCCTCACCATGTGGAGAAGAGAAGGGCGATACGAGAGAATTGAGCCAAGGATTCAGTCAGTTGAGAGTTGGGATTCATGCTTTCCAGTTGTCGTTCTTCATCTTGCATGCGTACAGGTGTCCCAACAAAGTACAAAAATAATTTGTGCAATCGAAATGCTAAATTCAGTGAGCCAAAAGGTGCCTTGGTTTTGTTATTGGCATCTAAGAAGTGCTAAATTTATGTAACAGTGCTGATACAATTTATTAAGCCACTTACTTGCTAGTTGATGGGCCGCACAGCAACACACTGGGAGGAAACAAAAGACAATCATTGCACACCTTTTAATAACCACAAGAAACAGTACTATAGGCGGCACATTTTGATAAACTGCTATGCAAAAGTAAACATGACACCAAGTTACTAGGTTCAATGAACAGAATAAGTGAAAAAAAAAGGTAAATTTAAAAAATATAAAATACCACCTCGGTGGTTGTGGATGTGCCTTTTCTACAGGCAACACAAGTAATGAGAAACTGCTATAATGTTCTAACGGAGCTTTTACTGTTGTTGTGCTGCCTGGAATGACTGTGGTCATAAAACAACAAGAAACTTTCCACTCGTGCATCATTATTCAACGAGCATTGTCAGCTGCTCTAAAAAGCTTGCAAAATGGGTGTGTGGCTTGCCCAAATAAGCGAGTGGAGGATATTTGTTAACACATACAGATTTGCCTTGTGTATGATGTCAGTTTGAAGAGCGAATCTCAAGCAGTGCACACCGACAAATGCACCAAGTTGAGCAGAGAGGTATAAGTTGCATGGTGACGATTCAACAGCTCATAATAATGATGTAAGCTTAGAAAACAAAAGAAAGACAATGCCTGTTATTTTTCCTTTTCTGTACATCCGTTACAGTGGGTGCTCCTGAATTGAGGACAAAAGTTTTGCATCCTGTGAACAAGTGCCAATATCACAGCCATATCAATGAGATTCTCACTTTCATGTCAGAGTTTAATAGTAAACACATTGGAAAGAGACCTGTCTGAGGATGGACAGGAAAATAAAAGAAAATTGCTAGCTTCGAAGCCGGCCAGACAGTCATTCTCTGAAAAGGAGACCGAATGAGTCTGCAAGGTCGGGAGAGTTTGTAATAGTTATACCTAAAGACTAAACATGGCTAGAGAGTATGTTTATTCATATAATAATTTAATGGTTTACATTTACACATGTGCTTCATTATGAAACATAACAAAATAACTGGTGTAAGAAACTTAATATTCCCCTTGAAAGCAACATGTATTTGGAACTTATTTAGTATTCTTGCTGCCTGTTATCAATAATTGTTTTATTGTAGTAATGACTTTCTTAAACTTTTAGATAATACTTAGTTACAGTTATATAACCGTACTTCTCCCCTTACCCAATGCCTTTTTGAAGGCTGGTAAGGTACCTGTAAATAAATAAACAAACAAATAAACAAACAAATAAACAAGTGTCTCGTCAATAAAAATGAAGAAAACTTGTCAACAATACGCAAAAACACAATTTTATGTCAACACTATTACTTTGAGCAGTGTTTGGCACTCGTTTGCCGTGTAAGCTCTAAAGTCCCATCATGATGAATAGTATTTTTTTGGCGCAAGGGGTAAAAATGGCCAAAGAGCAACATGACATTTGGTGAAAAATTGCAACATGTTGTTCTTCAAAGGCAAAATGAGTTACATGTGGTAGATAAGACATGGCTGTATATTGGCCTAAAACAAATTCTGTACTAAATGGTGCAAAATGAGTGACTATAAAAATAATGTGAGCAATGGGTGCGATAGCCACAGAAGTTAGTAATGAAAGATCATAAAATGATTTGATGACAGTAATGCAAGTGCCTCAGGAGGACCCTCGAATAAATAACAATATCTGGGGTTTTAAACGCCAACACAATATCGTTATGAGTCACGCCACAGTTGAACGCTCCCGAAAGGCCAATAATTTGATGTTCTTCGAGACGCACTGACATCGCACAACACGTGGGCTCCCAGCATATTGCTTCCATAAAAATTCAAATGCCATGGCCAGGGCCAAACCTGTGACTTTCAGGCGAGCAGCCCGACAGTAAAGGACCCGAGCACAAGGGCTGCTAATAATATGTCCTGTAGAACTGATGGCATTGCAGCTCCAGATAGGATGGCCAAATGATTTCTATTGTATAAGTTACTACCTAAAGCTTTGTTGCTGTGTTAACATTAAAAATTGGACCACCACTCGAAGAAAACGCTGACTGCTGAGGCATACTGCAATGGTATAGAGAAAGGTAAGCGAAGGGTAGTACTGCTTTTCTTGCTGGTGCCACTTCTTGACACTGAACAAGAATATGAAGGAACGCAAGCCTTCATATTCATATTCACTTCATATTTTACGGTCACTTTCAGTAAGCAGTTAAAAGTGAGCACTGCTACAAAGTGTCGCTTAGTCATTTCTTGTTCTCTCAGATATCTAGTTCTATAATCTTGGTTTTATTACGTGCATAAAACATAATTTCCATGGTATGAATGACATACAGGGTGTGTCTGGGAAATTAATGCAGTTTGCAGAGTAAAAGAAAATCTTTCAAGGTATTGTTAGAAACGTTTATATAGTATAAACAAGGGGCATAGCAAGGGTCTGGCACACCGTGCCCTTCGCGAAATTTTTTTTTCGCCATTACATAGAGACCAAATTTTAACCCTTTGAAGTGGGTACCCCTTCCGAAATCAAGGAGATGCCCTCCCACGCAACCCGGAAAAAATTTCTGGCTATGCCCCTTGTATAAACTGCTTATACATTCAACCCCTTCATAAGAGATGTGCACCACGGAGCATCAAACCTTTTATATGAAGTGTCTCTCATAAGCAGGGTACAATGTTTGCATTTTTTCATCAACTACTATTTCCAAGTAGGCACGTGCCTTTTATACCCATTTGTATATTACATCAGTGTCTCTTATAAAGGGGTTCAACTTAACGTAAGTCACCAGAGTTATGAGTATTCACACCACAATCAGTACTGCATTGTAACCAAGACCTTATTCACAGACTGCACATGTGCATACCGGGTGATTCCACGAGAGATCGACACGGGTCCAAAAGTTGATATTTTAGATTTCATTGAGTATTTTATATTTCGTGCATCTCTCACCAGGTAGCCCGAAAGTCAACTTTGTTTTATGATTAAGGGCATAACTTACGAGAACAAAAATATCAAACTTCACCAACACGGAGGCACCAATTTCGTCACCTGTCATTTTCGAAAATTGCGGATGCTAAAAAAAGACAAATATTTTTGTTTCAAGGAAGATATTTTTTACGTGAAATGCATATCTAATGAAGAATGAATTCGTACGGTTTCAAGTTTGTAGACCTTAAAAAAATAGCTTTTCAAAATGTCTAATCTTGCGACAATTTAAAATAAGTTACGTATTCTTCATTTTTTTTCTCCGAAAGAAATGCAAGCAGCATTTTCAAACTTCACAGGTTTTAAGAATATAGTGTGTTCATTAGGTACATAAATTATTGCTATCGTAGGGCAAATATAAATTTTTATATATTGCCTTAAAGTTCTCATATTGGCAAAAGTGTACTCCACTGAAATTTGAATATTAAAGAAACCCCATCTTCGATTTTTCTTAAAACTTCGTAAATAGACAACCGAAGGCCATCATACAGTAATATAGAAAAACCTGTTGCATTATTTTGTTTTTAGCGACAATATTCGTGTTACAAATCAAAGCTTTTCGAAAATGCGCTGATAAGTTGAGAAATCTAGAAATCGGAACGGAAAAGCGGCAATGAGTTTCAAACGCAAGTAAACGTGACCGCATTTGGTAAAGAAAGGCTGTTTTAGCACTGTGACAAATACGAACCCATGAAGGCGCATTTATGCTGCTGATAACACAGATCTAATGCAGGAAATCTTCGACACTGTCACTAATTTGCAAAACATCTGTCTATATTTGCAGACAAACTCAAACATGAAAATGTTCCAACGCAAGTGTTGGGTCTCGCTAGAAAAAGCATATGCGCTTGAAGTACCCTCACTGGTATTTTGGTAGTGACTGCGTGAAACAAGAGATGCGCTCAAAATGGCTGCATCTTTTGCAGATCACATTAAGCAGTATGTGACGCTAACAAAACACGACCACGATCAGTGCCCTCAGATGTGCTTAGCCAAACATGCCAAGAACGTATGCCTGCAACACGTGGCAACAATTTCCACTGGCTCTTCTTAAACTGACGGAATGTTTCTAGCTCGTCTGCATTTGCACACAGCAGCTTGACATTCTTGAGCTTTGCACTCATTTGTGCCACCATTTGGGATGCTGACATAATAACAGCTGAGCTTACCGCTCTGAGGTTGTAGAGCATAGCCTGATACTTTAGTAGGCCACCAACGCCGTCACAAGAGTTCTTGCCATGTCCTGTGGCCGAAAACATCCACTTTGTTGATACATGATTTTTCAGACATAACTCGAACAACTGGTACTTGTTTTTGAAGTGACAGCATGCACCATCAGAAACATAAGTAACATGCGTGTCAAGCTTAAGTTGTTCCTTCATATAACTGTGGATTATTTGTAGAGAAAAAAAGGCATGTGCAGCATCATGGCATATGTCATCACTGATGACGGCAAAACTTTGAATTGATTGCTTCCTTGTGACGACACACGTGAATATAGACACCTGTTTTTTGTGCCAGTGATACGACTATACCTCATTCGGTAAAATGGCTGTCCAATTTTCGGCGAAATCAAAGTGAAAAATGCAAGATTCTTTTTTTTTGATTCTCTTTCGCCTGGCGTATTGCTGATTCTTGAATGTATCTTATGTAATCATGGGTAATCGACTTCACGAACCATAGACTTGGCTCTCGCAGAAAAGCACTTTCCTGGGCTGTTTTTTCGTACTAGATCGCCATTTTGCCATACTGCATAGGCTACCTCAATATCTTCAGGGATTCCTAAACATGTGGCTGTCAGAGCGTCCTCCTTAGCACAAGAGTCACAATGGCCTAAAAAGCAATCACTGGTAGGGGAGGTGCAAAGACAGTTCTTTCAAGAAATCCACCGTGTAGGCAGCATCGGTGACGTCTTGTAGGGTAGAAACACACTCCGTGGCATTAGCACAGAATATACAAAGGCACACTTCTTGGTGTGGTGCAAGAAGAACCCACTTCGGCCTCAGTGAATAAAACTTTGAGAGCCCAATAGACGTGTTCGGATTAGCTTCTCTAAAGAGACTGTAAGCCTCTCGCACCGAAAGGGTCATAAACCTTTTC